GGCAATTTGTGATGCCTCGCAGTCTTCTAGATCTCAAGGCCAGTGCTGAAGAGACCAGGGCTCAGGACAATGGGGTCAGGGACTGGGGCCACTGTGACCAGTTCTAGGGATAAAGAGTGACCCTGAGTCCAGTTCCATGTGGGCCTGGGCAGTTACAGGGATAAGGTAGGGGGTCTTCAGGAGCAGGCCCTGGTATGGGGCTGGTCTCAGGAGAGTGGGCAAGGCTAAGGCTCCTACAGGTCTCAGAAAGGCACCCTGGGGGTGGGCCAGTTCTGCCTGGACTTCCTGCTCCCATCCTAGCACCAAGTGTAGAGCCTGGCCCTTTGCCAGCCTCACCTCTGTACAGCAGGGGGCTGCCACATGATAGGCACAGTGCCCTCAACATTCAATTTGCTCTTTTTCAACTCCTAGTCAGCCTCTTCATCTTCGAGGCTGACCCCAGCTCCTCCAGGTATCTCCCCAAAACCGCCGCTCACCCTCCCAGTTGCTTGGAGTAATTTTTGGACAGAGTGGAAAGCAATACCACCCACATGGAGGCCACTGCAGACTCCAGAGGTTTGAGTCACCACTCCACACCTGGCACTTGAGAAATGCCAAGGATGTGAGAGCCAGTGAATGAGACGATTCCAAAAAGGGCAAGACCCCCAAGTGTCAAGATACAAGGCTTCTCCCAGCCTAGCGGGGTCTTAAGAGCAGCTGTGGACCCATACTCCTGAGCAGCCCCTGCCCCCTCAAGTCCTAGTCCCCACAGTGGGAATAGACAGAGGCAGTCCTGAGGTGGTGGGGGTTGAGAAGAGGGCGTGGAGAGGAGGCCAGCCTCACCCTCCTCCCGAGCTCAGGAACCTTAGTGGTTGGAGCCCCCCACCCTTCCCCAGTCGGGTCAGGTGAGCTCAGGGCAGGGTCCAACTCATCTCTGCACCAGAGACTGAGGGTGGGGGATGGGGCCAGTAACCATGTCTGGGAAGAGGGTGTGAAGGTGTCAGCCCTGCAAGGGATGCTGTCCCAGATGTGAATACTTCCAGTGGTTCCCATTTCCAGCAGCAGCTAGGGTTTCCAGAACCTTTTAGTAACTGTCCAGCTCTCGGTTCTCCCGAGGTTGGAGGGGGATGTTCCCAGGGGTTAGCAGCAATCGCACTTTCTTGTTTCTTGGGCGAAGTCCCCATAGGGCCCCTCCCACCCCACAGCACCCCATCTGCGAGGCCTTGAAGCCTGGAACCATCCCAGACCCCGCCTTCCCAGCTCTACCCAAGCTGAGCGCCCACTGTTCTGGTCTCACTGTGTACACTGGGAGGGGTAGAGAAGGTAGCCACACACTTCTAAGGTCTTTCCCCCTCCACCCAACCCGCCAGGCCTCTCCCAGGTGTTCGGCCCCCTCCCTCAATCTGGCACCCAAAGAAATCAAGTGGAGGACTCTGAAAATAATCATTTTAAATGCTTTATTGGGTTTGCGAGCATTACAGGTTAACGACAAAACCCAAGCACTGGGTTTTGCCAGAAACATTAGCATGTTAAAGGAGTTAAGTTGAGGCAAACACGGCCACTGCAAGATGAACTGAGACAGCAGGCACAGGTGACATTCGGTGTTTGGCACGTGGGGGATCTTCAGGTGATGGCAAACGTAAGGACCCAAGAGGAGGTCCCGCTGAAGACAATTATGGGGGGTGGGACATGGGGAAAAGACAAGATGGAGGGCCACAGCAAGGACACGGAAGGTCAAAAAGGCGGCCCGAATCAAGGTGGTTGATGACACAAAGGAGAGCTGCAAATTTGGAGACACAGAGGATGGTCGGCAAGCACCCTCGGGATACCCATCCCAGCGAGGCAGAAAATAACACGGAGTGGGTTGA